GCTTCGATCTTCCCTTTACGCTGGCGGTCATACAGCGAGAAACACTCCTTAAACTCTGAAACAACAAACCAGATAATTAATCTATTAATCTACAAAATAATCAGCAGATCAATCAACAATTAAACGTTTTGATCGGTATCACTGGATGGATCTAAATGTACCAAGAACCTTTCGATGGTCCGATTTTAAAGTTATGAATCTGTTGACTAAAGCTTTGCTGGAAACAGCGTCTCCACTCTTGTGCACAGCCCTCGTTAAAAGTATTGAACCGTAAAGAGATAACGGACCAATAACAGTATCACAGGAACAGTAACTGCTCTCTCCTCTGACAATAATCTGAATATAACTCATTAGGATAAAAACTGCGCTCAGATAAAGAACCTTTGTATCTGATCACATTAGCAGGCCGGCCAACAGATCTTTGCTGGAACAAGCGCTGCTTTGTACTCGGCTGTCTGATTATCGTTGCTGCTGCCGGCTGTTTGTCTATGACACAGAAACGTTTACACTAAGAGAAAGTCATCAGAAAAAGTTTTTATTCCTCTAACTGGAGGCAGTAATTGACTACCAGCCTCCTCAACCGTAATGTGAAATGTATGAGAGTCTTACCATTAATCTGATCCTGCGTCAGGAACTTCGCCTGGGATGAAAGGAGGGAAACAGTGTGAGTGACTGGTGAAAAGGCATAAAGTAGGTTGCAGGTGAAACCTGGATGACAGCGTAAAGCTTCAAAGAGGACACAGTAATTATCTCACCATTGTGGCAGCGGGCGGGTGGCGGTCTGAGCTCCGTTGCTCAGCTCGGGAAACTGATCCAGGCCGCTGTAAGATGAGGAACGTAATGGCAGTGGATGGAGGATCCGGGCTGGGATGCCATGTGGAGGGGAAGTCTCTGAGGGGCCGGACAGGTACAGGAGTCATCCCTCCTCCTTTCTGTCAGCTCAGAGCTCACTGAGTCTGGTTGTGTTTAGTTTTTAAATTAGAAATACCACCGAAAGGTTGTTTACCTCCACCAACAAGTCAGGTTGCAGTTTACAGTTGTGCTCATAAATTTACATATGAAATAATATATTATTTTTTGGAAAATATGCAGAAAACTTTTATTTAGGGATAGTGGTCTTTTGTGTCTTAATCCTGCATTCTATGTAAAGGCCAGCAGGGGGCAGCTCCACTGGCTGCATAGACTCGAGACACATAGATACCATTCAGTTTTATGGAGAAATGAGGCAACTTCTCACTTGATTTATGAGCTCAGTAAACAGTTTCCTGATGAGTTTATGGTCTCAAAGATTGCAAGAAAAGGTAGTTACAAACTTTATAAATCAGGAAAAGGATATAAAAAGAATTTGAAAACTCAGTAGTTTTCAAAGTCTGATAAAAAAGTGGAAAATTAGGGGTTCTGTTGATACTAAAACACGGTCAAGTAGACAGACAAATATTCATAACTGCCAGGAAACTGTCACTATGTTCATGATACATGAGTGTGATTCCAGTTCAAACACATTTTTTATTTGATTTTCATGTCATGCACACAAAGTTTCCAACGTGGGTTTACAAGACACCAAAAGTATTTGGTTTCATTACAAAGTTACAGAATAATTTACAGCTTGGTCTAAAGGCCCAGCCACACCGGGACCATCCATCGGTTAGCGTTGGTAGCTTTAGTTTCTGCTGTATGTTTCACACTCGTCGACCCTCGTCTGAGTTTTTTCTGGTCGACTGAGCTGTTGAATTGGCAGTCGGTGGGAGAAATCGGTGGGAGAAATCGCTCTGAGTGGCAGTTCAGCTTAAGTGGATCAGTGCACGAGAAGAGAAACAAAGCAACAAACGACTTCATCAAGAGAGGGACGCATGAAAGAATTGTGTAATTTATAAATTCGGAGATTTCTGTAAAAAAATATATTTTTCTATGTTTTAAAGACCGGTTCTGGAAGTTAAACAATTAGCATAAAGTGGGCATTTCTTCAAAAGGTAGACTCATAGGTTCCCATAGAACCCATTTTCATTCAGATATCTTGAGGTCAGAGGTTAACGGATCCCTTTAACAGGTAAATGGTAAATGGACTGTATTTCTATAGCTCCTTTCTAGTCTTCGACCACTTAATGCGCTGTACACTACATGCCACACTCACCCCATTCACACACACTCATACACTGATGGCATGCAAGGTGTCAACTGCTCACCAGAATGGAAACTAATCATTCATACACACTCATACACCAATGCACAGCAATGGGAACAACTTGGGGTTCAGTGTCTTGCTCAAGAACACTTACACATGCAGCGAGAGGAGCCGGGGATCTGAGCCACAGCCATCTGTAGTAGCCATGCCAGTTTTTACATTGCCAAAATGTAGCATTAATTTAGCTAAGAAAAGAAAAGCTCTTTTAAAGCTTATTCATCTGCCTTTGTTAGGGGGTTCCTACATTTCCCAGAATGCAATCCCCAGAGAACAGATGTAAACTTGTTTCCTTCAGCTATGCATTACGACAGAACGGGAAAGCACAGAAATGCTCATTCTGTGTCGTTGGCGCTGAAAGGGCGAGAGTAGTAGAGATCGGTTGTGTCCTCGCCAGCTGAGAAATTGCCACTCAAACCCTCCTCGCTACTGCATTCTGCTCTATTTTCTGCTTCTGTGGGTGTCGAAAACGCTCTGTATGCTTCTAAAGTGGATTTCGTGACGCGTTCTGACGTACAATAATGTATAGACGCTGCAATTGGATAAACCTTAAACATGTTTCTCCTTCCAGGATGTGAATGACTCAGCTGCGATTCGCCACACGCCTCCTCAGTAAGAAAACATCTACCATTAAGAGATCAACAGGCAAACAGAGAAATATGGGCAGGATTAGCTCCTGTGATGCTGAGAGGAAATAAACCACAGCTGAACATCACATAGTCAGGCAGCCAAATGGGGATTTATTTCATCCTAATTAATGGAATTTTACTCCAACCAGCGATGACTGAAGAAAAGTTGAAAGAGCTGCGTTCGTCCTGTGGGGCTGCTGAAGGTCTGCTGAAGGTGGATATAACCAGAAACATTAATAAGTAATTAAGGGAGCGTGTGCTGTCTGTTGGTTCAGGTCTGCCAGAGGATGTATTGTTCAAATATGGTTCATATTTTATATCTACAGCAATTTTCTCAAAGCAGAATTGTGCTTTTTAGGAAAAAGGATGAAAATATACAAACATGTGAACTTTAATGCTGTTAAACCTTGAAGATCCACATAATTTTACATATTTTTTCCCTGCCTTCCAAAACAATTAAAAGAATAGGGCTGAATTTCTGTATTTTTAATGCTCTGACTCTGGAAATCACACCATCCCCCTCAAGGCTTTCATCAAAAGGTGTTATTGGTTTGAGGAGCTGCATACACACCGCTCTGACCTCCATTAACACAATACTGAGTACTGCCAGCCTCACACTGGGCACCATAATGCTACAGTGCCCACTCAACATGTAAAAGATGAACGCCTCACTTCCTCCCACTGTGCAAAAATTCAGCCAAGATGTCCTGGTTACTTTGGTGACGTCATTCTAAGCCAGAGTCGGTGCAGTAGTGATCAGGGTCAGCGCCACGGTATTGAGGTCCCGCCCATACACCCAGCTGACTCAGCTGTCAATCATAGAACTACTAACAGTGATATCCCCTGACTTCTGTTAAAAATCGCACAATTGTGAGAGTTGTAGAGTGAGAAACTTTGTGAAACAACAAGTTCTTACTTGTTAAAAAGTGTTTTGGGGTTTTTTATATTGCCGAAAATGAGAGGTGACAACATGGGAGAAACAAAACCTGCAGACAATAACAGAAAACAGTGAGACATAACAAACACAGATTATATCAGGTACATATGTATGTCACATAATAATTATTATTACTGTGATAAAAATTATTATAACAGTAACTGTTAACAGTAATAATAAATACAATTTAAAAAAGAAAAAACAACAATAATAAATAAATAATTTATTATATATATATAT